ATAGCTGCCGTTGCAGTCCTGGAAAAGAGCAGAGCAATTCGCCCCATCAGAACTTACTCCTTGGAAGGACCACACACGGCATGAACATAGAAAAGGCACTGGTATCCAGCTTGGACGTTTATTTATTTTATTCATTTATTTATTTAACTTATATGCCGCCCACTCTACCCAAAGGTCTCTGGGTGGCTTACAATAATTAAAATTCAATTAAAATACACTAAAAGATAAAATGATTAAAATACAATTAAAATTGCCATCAGGACCCACAGTTGATGTTATTCCAATTAAAAGCCTTCTCGAACAGGAAGGTTTTGACCTGGCGCCAAAATGTCATCTGCGTCGGCGCCAGACGAACCTCAGTCGGGAGGGCATTCCATAGTCTGGGGACAGCTGCCGAAAAGGCCCTTCCCTCTTACCTCTTTGAGGGACGGCTCTTCCAAAAGGGCCCCCTGGCTAGATCTTAACTGCCGGGTAGGCTCATATGGAAGGAGGCGGTCCTTCAGGTATCCCGGGCCCAAGCCGTTTATGCAGTGGTGGTTGGTGCCAACTGGAGAAGGAGGGCAAGGTGGTCAATGGAAGGGAAGCCAAAATCCACAAAAGTTCAGCTAGGGGACCTCCCCCTTTGTAATGGCACCAGTACAACTCCTTAACATTTAACACCTAAATGAACTGAATGCATGGCTTAGGCTTGTGGAAAGGGGAAGGGAGAACGAAGCTCTACTTAAGACTCTCTCCGATTTATTGCTAAGATATTTGTTTTCCCTTATTAATTTAACGTATTTCCTACCCTATTCTGCTACTCTTTGTGAGATTAGAGTGCTAGAACAGCAGCTCAGGAAGTCTGATCTGTAGCCAAACCACAGACCTCAATGGGTGACTCTGGACAATTTCTTTCCCAACCTCACTTAACCCCAAAGGGTTCTTGCAAGGATAAAATGAGGAGGCCACAGATGGCTACCTTGATCTCTGTGGTGCAAAAAGTAAAGGTGTGCTCAAAGGAAATCCCCCTTTCCCACTCCCTCCACATGCAGTCTTCCCCAGCACAGGGTCCCCAGATATTCTCCCATCAGCCTCAGCCAGCACAGATGGCCTGTGGTTAGCAGTTCTGAATTTTGAAGCCCGTAACAGTTAGGTGTGCGTGGAGCAGATAAAGAATGGGCTCCTAGCTCAACATCAAACCCTTGGTGAAGATGGTCTACTCAGTGGTATAGTGGTAGATCTTTTTTATCGTGGCATTCAGCATCATCATTCACATAGCCATGCCTCCAAAGGAAGTCCCGAAATGTGGGCGGCTGTGTTGACCCACATCAACAAACCAGCTTCAGCAATTCTCATCGTCACTAGGAGCAGGTCCTTTGTATTGCTAAAGGGGCTTAGTTTCCTACTAAAGGCTAGTCCACCCCTGAATACTTTGCTTTCCAAAGTAGCTCAACAAGAATATATTGTTACTGGAACAACATATTTTGCTCTCAGCTGTTTTAAGAGTTGCAGCCGAGCGCAGAGGGAGTAAAAAGCCCAACAAGGGTAGCAAATGATGCCACTGTTCCCACTGGCCATGGCAACCCTGCTAGTCATGGCTCCATTATCATATTTAATCCAAGGTTTTGGTGTGGCAGCAAAAACATAAGAGATGCTAATTCTTCCCCCTTCTTCCTGTGCTATCTTCGTTTTTGGGAACTTTGCTGAGAAACGAAAAAGAAACTAATGTATTTGACTGAAGGCACATAATGAACCAGAATGCAAAGCTTCTGAGTTCCATTACAGAGATAAGGCATCATATGGTGTGATCAATTTTTAAAAAACCTAATACGTATACATTGTGGACATGGAAAAGACATCACATGAGTTTCGATCAGGGTATGCAGCAGTTTTTCACATAGTAATGTAAATGGGCAGGTATGGTTTATAAAAATGCCCCAAAACGAAGGCTAACGTGGATCTATAGATACAAATCTATAAATAATGACACATTTAGAAAGAAATGCAATTGGTATCACTGTCAAATGGTGAAGACGGCGACAGATCAGGCTACGTTTCTGTGTTACCAACGGTGAAGAGGCAACATCAAATTTCTTGCTCCCCCCCCCCAGATTTATTATCAAGCCAAATTTGTATTGGCAGCAAATCACTAAAACAGACCAGGATTAGGGACTGTTTTGCTTTTCAGGAATTCTTGGACTACAAATCCCATTTTAAGATGCTTTAAGAATGAGACAAAGGGCTGCTATTCACGCCTGGTATATTATGCATCACAATTCAAGACGGCATGTCTTTCAACACTAGCGAATGCAAGACTGCACAGGGTTTTAGCCTAATCCAGCAGGGCTCCTTGTTAAGATTTTTCTTGAATGCAACTGTATACTTAAAAAAAACCTCACCACAATCCCTTCTGTTCTTAGTCCTGATGTTGGGTGGAGTAGGAGATGTGTTAAGGAAAATACACTTGCTATTTCATATGGTTCATTATCAAAGATTTACCCAGCTATGCTATGACTGTGTTTTTAAAAACCCAGTACTGTACTAAGTCCCACTCTGAAAGCTGAAATGGCAGAACAAGATAAAAACCAGCTTTTAATGTGATCCTGGGCATGGTTTACCCAGTTTTTAGTCATTCTTGCCCCCCCCTTTCCAGGAGGCTTATTCTTATGTACGTGTTTGTATGATTGCCAGCCAAGGTGACCGGTAGATGATTCTGTGAGGCCTTTCTTCCAGGAATCATCCAAATAATGTGATTAGGTGTATAGAATTATACCGTGACAGCAGAAAAATAGAAAAATAAAATGAAAATCCTTTGCTCTTGTACTTATTTTGCTCCACGGATGAAGTATACAACTGGTTTTTGCATGGTTTGCCAATTTCCAAGAGGGCAACAATCTTAGGGGGAAAACCTTGGGAGGAAAAAAGACTGGCACCAGAGGAAACTTGGTGAGGCTTCCTCTCCTCTATATAACAAGTAAAGGGACAGAATCTTGACGTCGTTTGCTAACTAATTTGAACCACTGGGAAATCTACCTTACTTATCTATTTCCCCCCTCCCGAAGGCTGAGATAGCTGAAGGAGGGTTTACCCAGAGTCTAAACCAGCTTCATGAAGCAATCGCTACACACTCAGATGGACATGGGTCCTGCTTTATGGGGTGCACCTCTCAATTTGAATGGCCCAATCCACATCAGGTTTGAAAGCGAAGAACCCTAAGAAGGGAGAAGGGTCTTTGAAATTTCCCATTCGCACATCAGTATCTAGACCACTGAGGCGCAGATAATTTGGGCGCCGTCTTGCCTGTTGTACCCAAATGCATTGGGGTATTTTTCTTCATTTATAGAAAACACAACTAAATGTGCATCAGTACCTATGTATCCCATGTCTTTGGTTTCATAACCTTAATGTGATGAAAACTCAGAACAAGATGAGTCAAAATGAAACGAAAGATAGCGCTAAAGAAAGACCTCCAGGCTGGATTGTACTCATTCCGTCACTGGAGAAAAGCAAAGGATAAATATGAATAGCACTGTCACCAATGGAGCAAACGGACTGATGTCGAAAGGATGCGTAGTTGCTGAAATGGATAGAGACAAGAGGAAAGTTCAGTACGGCATTACCCATATAACTGGAATATGAAATGTTAAAATTAGTTTAGGCTAATCGCCCAACTTTGCCCCCAGCTAGATGAGGAATTCCTCAGGACTTTGGTGCAGGCCCTGGTCATCTCCTGGACTGACTACTGCAGTGCTCTCTACGTGGGGCTCCCCTTGAACATGATCTGGAGACCAGTGGGTCCAGAATGCAGCAGCCACACTGGTGGCTGGTGCAAGTAAACTTGACCACATCGGTTCTGGCCCACCTCCACTGGTTGCCCATGGGGTTCTGGATCAGGTTCAAGGTTTTGACACTCACATGCAAAGACCTCCACAGTTTGGGACCATGTTATTTCTTGGAGTGTCTTTCCTTAATGTCACCTGTCCGACCCACAAGATCATCCCAGTCAAGGCTCCTCTGGGTAGCCATCCCAAAGGAGACCCATAAATCCTCTACAAGAGGTAGGGTCTTCTTCATAGTGGCTCCAACTTTATGGAACCAGCTTCCAGTAGAGCTCTGCTACTCCCTCCCTGTGGACACTTGGGAAACAATTAAAGGCACTGCTTTTAAGGGAGGCTTTCCACATTGACCCCAGCTGACCACCTACCCCCCCTTTTCCCCCTCCTCTTCTTCCCTCCCCACTTTTCCACCCCCCTTTCCCCCCCTCCTCTTCTTCCCTCCCGACATTTCCTCCATCTGCTCTGGGATTAGTCAGTGCCATCTGGGGTTTTTTTAGGGTTATTGCTGCTTGTTTTGATGTCTCTACTTTTATTTATGTTTTCTATTATACATGTTGTAACCCTCCGAGAGTAGTGCTGTGATACTAATGGGAGCGGGTACATGTAACCCTCCCAGAGTAGTGCTGTGTTAGTAATGGGAGTGGGATACAAATAACATAAACACATAAGTAAACCAATGAAGCAAGGCAAGCAACCATACAACAAGAAATTGAATGTTGCAATGTTGCAATATTTGGGATGAACAAACACATAAATAAACGTATGAAGCAAGGCAAGCTCAAGACCATACAACAAGAAATGGAATGTTGCAATGTTGCAATATTTGGGATGGATGATCTAAGCTGGGGATGTGCACTAGCACAAAATTTTGAAATCACAATTTGAAATTATAACCCTTCAGACTCAGAAATTGCAATTTTAAAAATTCAAAATTTCTGGAAGCCCGGAACTCCATTACAGTCAACAGAGTCATTACTTTCCCCTTTACACATCACAAACGGGCAAAACATTTAAAAAGAATTTCCCTGCGTCCTCTGACACTTTCCCAGTGATTGTGTCAATCAAAGAGAGTTTGCACACTAACAGCCAGCCGTGGCCAGGTATTACGAAAGGACTGGAACGGGCATATTGACTGAACCCTTGAACAGTGGAAATGCCAGCAGGAAATGCCAGCAGCACTGCAGAAGCAGAGGACAGACGGCA